TAGTTTTATACATCCTAGTCATTCCCACCATAAATTTCAGATAACTCAAGTTAGGGAAGGCACACATTTTAAACATACCACGTGGTTGCATAGAGAAGAGAGAGAGAGATAGAGAGAGGGAGAATCACTATTTCTTATTTTCCCTTTTAAGTACCTTTATTTAGCCAAATTGGTTTCCCAGCAAGGCCCTAACCAAAGTCTATTTTTTTTCTATACACTACACAGTCAAAGTCTCCTTGTGAGACTTCTTCCTAACACAGTCGAAGTCCCCTTGTGAGACTTCTTTTCCTAACAGTCGAAGTCTCCTTGTGAGACTTCTTTCCTAACACAGTCGAAGTCTCCTTGTGAGACTTCTTTCCAAACAGTCGAAGTCTCCTTGCGAGACTTCTTTCCCAATACAGTCGAAGTTTCCTTGCGAGACTTCTTTCCCCCAATACAGTCGAAGTCTCCTTGCGAGACTTCTTTCCCCCAATACAGTCGAAGTCTCCTTGCGAGACTTCTTTCCTAATACAGATTCTCGGAGATGAGCAGCCACCTCCGCTCGGGGCTACTGCTTTGATATTTACTGGCAGAAGGGGTCCTGGCTTGCCCAGAATAGGGTTCTCTTTCTCTGCCCGCTCGGTCCTCCTCTCTCACCAGAAGGTCTCACGCTCCGATGCCCCCCCCCTTTGCTTTCCCGAATCCTGCCAGTCACGGCTCCAGTAGAGCTAGCAGCAGGTCGGGGTGCGGCTAGAGGGCACACGGAGGGAGCGAGCTCCAGCTGATTCTAAGAGGAGGATGCCTCACACACACACTCATGCATTCTTCCTTTCGTTCCCCCAGACCCTTTAACCTAATAGATTTAAATTTTGGTGGCAATTTCCTGGTAGCTGTTCGAGCGTAAGACTCAAAAACTCCCTTTACTACCCGATGCCAACCGGGCAGGGTCCGAGGAGGCTTCCCCACGGATCAAAGTGTCCGCTGCCGGCTGGGTGATGACTCTTCCGGCCCCGGTCCGGTGGCTGGGTGAGCTGGAAGTCCCTTCGTAGGTCGCCAGATTGTTGGGAGGAACTCCCCCGTTCGGTCCTTCCAGCCGGGATTCCCCTTGACAGTGCGGCGCAGAAGAAATAGATCGTGAAGCCAGCTACCAGAAAGAGGTTTAATTTCGAGGATCAGCGTTGAGTGACAATTCAGCTCTAGTTCCCAGTGATCTTTAAATAGGGGTTTTTATACCCTTTTGTGGTTTCCACACTTGTTATTTCTGATTGGTAACAAACTTATCATTTCTAATTGGTGAGTTTGAATCTGCCTTTTCTGATTTGTTGGTCAGTGACTATTGTTGGTTAAATTTCTTTGCTAATCCTGCCTGAAAGGTGTTAATTACTTTATTGTTGTGTCCTGATTGTTGCTAGCTGGTTCCTCATTGTGTGTGTCAAGTGTTTGCCATTTAGCCTCAGGCTGCTGTTGACCCAGTTTAGTTGGGGTGTTCCTAGATTATTTCTTGGTTGGGCTGGGGAGGGGGTGTCCAACTCTCATCACTTTTGAAAATGAATGAAAGTAAACAAAATGTCAGAAATATGCAACAGATAATATGCAAAGGATAAAACAGCACATAAATTGTTTAGAAATCTACCCATAAACAAAGTATGTATAATTTAGCTAATTGGACAAAAACAAACACCCATGATCTGAAATAGTTAATGTCTTTCCCAACACTTTTGCCTTCCTTGAATTGATCCTAAGGCTATGCCTGATATTTGTTAGTTACTTGGATAAGTATTTATGAAAATTATCAGCATTCTGCAAGTCTCCCTAGATGCATTGTGGAGTTAATACTTTCTAGATGAAACAAATATAACCCATAGGATTGTGCTCTTTTGTCAGCATTTTTTCATAGATCTGAATTTATTTATGTGAATGTAATACAAAAATGTTTTAGGTCTAAGCTTGTGACTGTCTTTAATAACCTTCATGTCAAGATATCCTGAGCCAGTTAGATTTTGCTCTTGTACTGGAAACCACAGTGTGGTTACCAAACATGCACAGCTTAAAATAGGTCATGTGTTTGCCAGCTTGAGGGTCACACTGAAATAACCTTACTTTAAAAATAACCTTTTTTCCATTATAGGGTTCTTCTGTTCTTTTAGCAGTCAGTTTTGAATATATTTGTCCTGGCTGGCAGTTTCAGTTTCATCTAAATTTATAAAGTTTGTTGTTGTTTATTGCTTCAGGATACTGAATTTCGGTGTTGAAAAATCAGCTGTAACATTTTAGTCATCCAGGATAAAATGCATTGTTTCAGTATAAGGATTGTCATCTCTTAGATTGTCCATGTGATATTATTTGTTCAATACAACTTCCTTGTGTATTTGTATTTTATAAATGTGTTGTTTGTTACCTTAAAATTTGGTATTCTAGAGCCTGAGAGTAGCCACTGTCTAAGGTAATAACTGAGCCCTCCAATCATGCAGATTGCTATAGACATCTTTCATGAATTAGATTTATTTTGAATCCCCACACCAAAAGTAAAAAATTAAATTGGCTATTGTAATGAATGGTTTTAATTCATAGTTTCTTTTCTTCTGTTAAATGAACTGCAAACATGAGACACTGTCCTTGTTGAAGCCTCCCCTGACATCATTTTTTTCAGATCTTCTCAAAATAAAATTTGTGCTAAAACAAGCACAGTGGCCACATCTTTCATTTGGCAGGAATGATAAGATACTTGAGGGTCATTTTCCAATAGCCTTGGCATACACATGCTACCCTGATAAAGCTTGAACAAGCAGTCCTCCTTTTTACCAAGATTCACTATCTACAATTATTTATTTATAAAATGAATATGGTGTTGAATCCAAATGACTTAAGGTGGCTTACAATCAAAACAGCATCCGTACCAAAATGTACACAACAATACACACATTATATACATATAAGCTAACAATACCTTAGAGTTGCATGCCTACTTTCAAGAGTGCAAAATGCATAGTGAACATTACCTTTGTGTTCGTTTCAAATTAGCAAAATATTTGGAGAAATTTTGCTTATCTTATTGTGTGCTATGTCTGCATTGGAAATGAATATTGCATATTTTAAAGTTCTATTGTCTCATATATGGATAAGGAATCTGTAGCCCTCCACAGTTGTTGGATTTCAGCTCACAGCAGCCTCAGCCATTATAACCAGTTGTAAGCTGAGACTGATCCTCTACTCCATTTTGTGGCTTGTGGAGGATTTCACTTCATTTCTAAATCTATTACTATAATTGACTTCAAACGATCATTTGAGGTTATTTACTTGCTAATTTTAGTCCACAGTCAGAGTCCTTTTCCAAATTTAATTTGTATAACCAAGACTGATGGCAAAATTCAGATTCATGTGATTTCTGATTGAAGTTGTTCTGCTAATATGAAAAGTTATTAGTGTTTTGAAATAAATCTCATATCTAACTGCTCAGAGAAATTTATACAAGTTCTAGCAATGTAATAGAGTCTTTTAGGGAACCCCATGAGATAGGTGAGAGTGAGTGAGAGAAAGATATTGCTGATTATATTTTGTACTGGCAATGAGATTTCAAACTTTGTAGTTGTGTAATTGGAGGAAAAAGAAAGAGCTAAACTTCTGAGAAAGCAAACAAACCAAGAACAGCAGAGCCAACAGACTCAAGAGGTGAAAAAATTAACCCTATGATACTAGAGTGATCAGCTGAAATTCTTTTATTTCTAAGCTTTGCTTTCACAATGAGAAATAGTCTAAACTGGATAAGATAGATGCATCATATTTTCATATAAAATTCTCATAATTTTGGCAATTAACAATTTTTAAATAATTTTGCTAGAAAAATTCAGCATATATATAGTCCTTGTTTAACTACCACAATTGCATAATACTAAGTGGGAAATCATGTGACTGTGCTTAAGATTTTACTGCAGCTTTTCTTTTCCCCCACTCCCCAACCCTTTGGAATGCTTACCTAAGCCCTGGGATAATTAGAAGAAGGGAATTAATGTTTGTATTTACATTCATTAGGCAGCAAGGGATTGCAAAAGAAAAAGCAGGCACAGGATGGGGAATATATTTTGAAAGGAATGCACAGCCCCAAGTGCATTAGACAAACAGACTGCATTAACACATTCTTTCAATGGGTATTCCCCATCATGCGCTTGCTTTCTCTCTTTTTGTCCCTTCCTCTCCAATCTCTCTGCTCTACAAAAGGGAAAAAGAAAAGAAGAGGGTGAGGTATAGGACAATGTGTACTAATTGACTGTAATGGAGAACATGTAACTGAAGGAGGTGCTGCAAAGATTGTAAATGAATGCCATGGTCGCAAAGTTATTTTTTCAGCATTGTTGTAACTTTGAACAGTTGTAGTATAAGACAATTAGCAAGCAAGATTTAACTCTGGTAATTACTATTCAAAAGTTTGGTAACATAAATAAGTATAAAAATTTGCATTCAGCACTCAATGTAAATTTAATTCTGATTTTCTCTCCAAGAAAGGATAATCACTTCTTATATGTGGAAAATATGCTGCTTTATTCTCAGAAATTTATTTAATTATTTTGTCAGTATCAGGAAAAGTATTTTAAAGATTAGGCTAGAAGACCAAATTTAAATTCAGTGTTCACAACACATTTTTTGTAGTTCTGTTCCTGTTGTTGAATAATTATATTTTGTGTAGAGGGACTCTATAGATAAGATATATAGGTTGAATAATGGAATGTCTGTTCAACTAATCATTGAACAATTAGTTTAGATGAATTATTTTAAAATAGTTAAGGTATTTAAATAAGATATCATATTTGATCACAGAAGATATTGAATATCCTTGGATATAATCACTGTGTCTCAGCCTAACATAGCGTGTTTTGAGCACAATTTGATGAGATTCCAGTAACTATTATCTTGAACTTCCTGAGGAAATATATACTAAAAATGTGATATTAAATAAACCACATATTTGACCTATATACTAAAAGTTATAGAACAATAAATTCTAATTCACTTTTTTCCTTTTATAGATGCCTCTTCAAATGAACAACAAGTTCTCTTCTGTCAGAAATTACAGCAGTGCTGTGTATTATTTGATTTCATGGACTCTGTCTCTGACTTAAGGAGCAAAGAAATTAAAAGAGCAACACTGAATGAATTAGTGGAGTATGTTTCTACAAATCGTGGTGTGATTACTGAATCAGCATATTCAGAAATTGTAAAAATGGTAAGTAAGTCATGTGAACTATAACTCCTTTAAAAGGATTTAGAAATGAAATTTATTAAAGACTTGTCTGTCTTCTGAATTGCCTTTTTTGTGGCAATTAGATAGTGCTTTTGCTGCTCTTGTAGTTAAAATTTAACATTAAAATTGGTCTAAAGGGTGATTTTTTTCACACTAATAAATAGCTTGTTCGATTATGATATAAATGAAAAGTTTCATACTGATGTTATTTTTTCACTTGGATTCATTTTAGATATCAGTAGGACTCACTGAAAATTCTGATAATATAAAGTGGGAAACATAAGCATACATTCAGAAAAACTGAAATAAAATGGAATATTTTATATGTAAAAGTATACCTTCCCTCAGTTCTATTGTACTGCATTTTAATATCACTTCTTGTGGTATTACCTTGGTTCCTCCTTGTTCAGTATCTTGTGACATACAAACCCCTTATCTTTGCACCGTCAAAATTTAGTTTTAGTAGTGCGATGGCTAAAAATCAATGATAACAGCTTATTATCACACTCAGGAGGGAAACAATGACAGTTTTGCTTTAAGACCCAAAAAGGCTTACTGTAGTTTAAACAAACAAGGGACCTTGTTGTATAATTTGGAAATATAAAAATCTGTGGCGCTCTCTTAATCTGTAATATACAGTACATCTTGTTATTTTCCATGATCATGTGCTTATCAGTCTTCAGTTTTGCAGGAAACAAATCAAATCAAAATACTCCTCCTCCCTCACATTATTTAAGTGTGGCTTTTGGTCATCAAAATGTTGCTTATGCTGGTAGATATTAAAGTTTTTCAAGGACAAGATTGAACCTTGCGAAGCCCCAGGATTCGGTTCTCCCTTCTGGGAGTCTGGTACATAGAATGAAAACAAACAAAAGTAAAGCTAACTAGCTAGATATGGGGTTAAATAAAAATTCACAATATTTCCTTCTCAGGAGTATAGAGTATTTGGATCTGAAGTGCTGCTTATTTAAGGAACCACTGACAGGTAGTGAACACTGTACCCATACCCATACCGAATCTGTCCCCATACTGGTTCTGTAAATGAACATTATGGAAGACAAAGTCATGGAATGGTCAAAGGGAATAATCAGAATTGCTTATTTAGTCACCCCATAGAAGTGAAAACAGGATTGGCAGGGATCTAGAAATGGATATTAACTTGAAAAGATTTCCTGTCAGCTGCCCATGTCTTTTAGATTCTAAAAATCTTGTTCGTTACATTTTGCTACACTAGCAAAATCAGTTTGTAAAGGTACAGCTGACATTCTTTGAAAACAGCTGGCTTTCAATAGGCAAAGCTGAACTGAAGGCGTGTATATCCATGCATAGCTTTGTATATAACAAAATAACAGTTGGAAGGGACCTTTGAAGTCTTCTAGTCCAACCCCCTGCTCAGGCAGGAAACCTTATACCAGGGGTAGGCAACCCAAAACACTCAAAGAGCCACTTGGATCCATTTCCCACCGAAAACAAAACACTGGGAGCCGCAAAACTCTTTTGACATCTAAAATAAAGATAACACTGCATATATCCTTTTTTACCTTTATTATATACATATACATATACAATAAAGGTAAAAAAGGATATATGCAGTGTTATCTTCATTTTAGATGTCAAAAGGGTCTCCCTCTCTCCCTCTCTTTCTCTCTGCCCTTGGTCTGCTAGTCCTCTTCCCCCACTCTTTCTTTCTCTCTTTCTTTCCTCTCTCTCTCTTTCTCCCTCTCTCTTTCTCTTTCTCTCTCTCCTCTCTTTCTCTCCCCCCCCTCTCTCCCTCTTTCCGATCTTCTGCTCACCTGGCAAGTTGTCTTCAAGCTGTTCTCCAACAAGCTCAGGGGTAGGCAACCTCGGCTCTTTTATGACTCATGGACTTCAATTCCCAAAATTCCTGAGTTAGCATAGCTGCGCTTCCTGCTTCTTGTAGAGATGCAGCAAAGGGAGGAGCCCTGCCCCAAAAGTTTTTCAGCTTCTCAGAGAACACTGTGAGTCCACTCTCTTTTATACACACACACACACACACACACACACACACACACAAAACAACACACACACAGAGAGAGAGAGAGAGAGAGAGAGAGAGAGAGAGAGAGAGAGAGAGAGAGAGAGAGAGAGAAGCAGGGAAGCGCAAGTGCCTCTCTCTGTCTCTATCTCTCTCTGTAAATGGCAGAGGAGGCTGGGAGCCATAGGGGAAGGCTCAAAGAGCCAGATGTGGCTCTGGAGCTGCAGGTTGCCGACCTGTGCTCTATACCATTTCAGACAAATGGCTGTCCAGTCTCTTCTTAAAAACTTCCATTGTTGGAGCTTTTACAACTTCTGGACGTGTAAGGTGTTCCACTGATTAATTGTCAGGAAATTTCTCCTTAGTTCTAGGTTGCTTCTCTCCTTGATTAGTTTCCATCCATTGCTTCTTGTCCTGCCTTCAGGAGCATTGGAGAATAGCTTGACTCCTCTTCTTTGTGGCAACCACTTAGATATTGAAACACTGCTATCATGTCACCCTAGTCCTTCTCTTCATTAAACGGGACATATCCAATTCCAGTAACCATTCTTTATATGTTTTAGCCTCCAATCCCCTAATCATCTTTGTTGCTCTTCTCTGTATTCTTTCTAGAGTCTTAACATATTTTTTACACTGTGGTAACCAAAACTGGATACAGTATTCCAAGTGTGGCCTTACCAAGGCATTATAAAGTGGTATTAACACTTCTCATGATGTTGATTCTATCCTTCTGTTAATGCAGCCTAGCACTGTGTTGGCTTTTTTGGCAGCTGCAGCACACTGCCAGCTCATATTTAAGTGATGTCCACTAGGACTCCAAGATCGCTCTCACAGTTAGTACTTTTAAGCAAGGTACCACCTATACCAGTGATGGCAAACCTTTTAGAAACCGAGTGTCCAAACTGCAACCCAAAACCCACTTATGCATCGTCGGGTGCCGGGTGGATGTGGCTCATTGGGTGGGTGTGGCCCATTGGGTGGGTTTGGCTGCGGTGGTAACAGCAGACTAGGTGGGACTAAAAAGTTCAATCAATCAATTCCAACTTTGCAAGATTTTTTTTTCCCACGAGAAGTTGAAATTGACTGATTGATTGAACCTTTTTTTTGTACACAGCGGCAGAGGCCTAAAGCGAAAAGGTTTTATAAAACCCAGCTGAAGGCCTAGGACTGGGGCGACGGCGTGGGTGCCCACAGAGAGGGCTCTGAGTGCCGCCTCTGGCACCCGTGCCATAGGTTCATCACCACTGACCTATACTGTACCTGTGAATTTGGTTTTTCTTGCCTAAATGTAGAACCTTATTTTTTTCACTATTGAATTTCATTTTGTTAGATAGCGCCCAATGTTTAAGTCTGTCAAGATCCTTCTCCAGCCTATCTCTGGAGTGTTGGCTATTCCTGCCAGCTTGGTGTCATCTGCAAATTTGATGAATTCCTCATCTATCCCCTCATCCAAATTATGTAATGTATAATTCCTCTGCTAGTTCTAAATCTTCAATGGATTAATTGCAAAAAAGAAAGAAAGTAGAGGTTAATAGACCATTTCTAGCTTGGTGCTATATGCTGTGAAGGTGGTCTATGTAGGAGAATGGTGGTCAAATGATCTGTTCTAAATATGTAGCAGCATTAATTTCAGCACTTGAGAAAACAAGTTCTTGACAGATTTGAGTTTAGTAAACTACATTTATACTAAAATGTAATGTTTTCATTTATTTAAATGGCTCTAAATTTTAGACATTTCACAAAAATCTTTTTTGTTTTGCAAACATGGCAGTTGTCAGGTTTCATTATCATTACTTATTAGTTACTTCACACTGAAATAGATGTGGAATAATGTTCTCATTTACTAAAGGTGGCTACTTTGAAAATAAATACAAGCCTAGTGATGGGAATAGTTGTTAATATATGGCTGTTCTTTGTTTTGGTTGAACTGAAAACCTTCCAAGAAGCTGCTATTGGTGGAATATTTTGCTCATCAAATCAGTATCCATAGTTTCCTGAACTGAAACATACTTGTAACTTGACAATGGGAGAAGTGCAGTCCTGAATGGAATTTCATCTAAATAGAAGGAAGCATGCAATGGGGTATCTCAAGGTTCTGTTTTAGATCCATTACTCTTCAGCATCTTCATAATGATCTGAATGATGGGATTGAAGGGGGACTCATTAAATTTGCAATTGATATCAAGTGGGGGGGGGGGAATAGCCAGCACTTTAAAAGATAGACTCAAGATATAGAAGGATCTTGACAGAGTTGAACACTGGGCCCTATGTAACAAAATGCAATTCAGTGGTGCAATTCAAAAGTAAGATCTTACATTTAAGAAAGAAAAACCAAATGCACAGGTATAGAGTAGGTGGTACCTGGCTTAACAGCAGTAACTGTGAAAGGGATTTAGGAGTCCTAGAGGAGAACTACTTAAGTATGAGCCAGCAGTGTGCCACAATTGCCAAAAAGGCCAATATACTCTAAGCTGAATCAACAAAGGGATAGTATTAAGATCAAGATTGTGTTAGTACTGCTTTATACTGCACTGGTAAGACCATACCTGGAATACTATACGTCCAGTTTCAGTCACCATAATACAAAAAATATGTTGAGATTCTAGAAAAAGTGCAGAGAAGAGCAGCAAAGGTAATTAGGGACCTGAAGGCTATACAATGAATGGTTGCGGGAACTGGGAATGTCTAGAGAAGGATTAGGGGTGACATGATAATAGTCTTCCAATATTTGAGGAGCTGTCACAGAGAGGAGGGGTCAGCCTATTCTCCCAAACACCTGAGAGTAAGATAAGAAGTAACAGATGGAAGCTTAACAAGAAAGATCCAACCTAGAATTAGGGCGAAATATCCCATCAGTGACATCAATTAATTATTGGAAAAGGTTGCTTCCAGAAGTTGTGAGTGCTCCATGACTGGAGGTTGGACAACCATTTGGCTAGAATGGTTTAGCAGAGCCTAGAAGACCGCCAAGATCTGCTCCAACCCTGTTATTTCATGCTCTATGTAAGTAAACAGAGTCCCAGTTCAAAGTCCTCTTTGCACAGGTAGAACTTCCAAGCTGATGTACTTGAATTCAGAACAAACAAAATAAATTGGTAATACAGAGTAAAAAATAAGAAAATGGAGAACTATTCTTGGGGACACTCCAGACATTTGATGACTTATAGTGGTAGCAGTTTACATACTGCCGTTGCTTAGTTTGAGGAGATTTTGTTTGTACTTCTTTTATCATAGAAGAGTTATGTTAAATGCTTTTGTGACACTCAAATAATGAATTACATGCAAGAAAATTTCAAATTTTCTCATGAACCTCATGAGAGACATTTGTAATTTTGGAATGTAGTAGACCAGAGATAGTAGTCAGTGTTTTCAGGAATCAAAAAATTCTTAGTAAAGACACTAAAATTTTGTTGTGTAGTGCAAGTGCTGCTTTGCATCTCTGTTACCAAGTAAGCCTGAACTAATCTGCAAAATATCACATAAAATTAATTACAAAAGCAAATTCATTTCATTGATTCATGTTTAGTTATATAATCATCCTATATAATTATAAAGTTTAGACGTAGCAGTGTTGGATAAAGTTTCTACAATTATTATCAGTTTTCAAAATAACTGTATTTAGCGTTCTTCTAAATATAGGTATTCTGTAGTTAAAAGTATTTTAGTCTTTCAGTTAAAAGACCCCTACAAGTAATAGAAATTATTAGCAGAAGAAAAGAAATGTTTAAAGTTTCTTGTAAAAAGTCTTCTTGTGCAGATTACTGCTACTAAGGTTTGCTCACCAGATTCAAATAATGCATCTCTCTCTTTCTCATGAGGAGAAACTGTGAATTATTCTGTAATAACCGAGAAATCCAGTCATTAACATTCCAATAATTACTGTTAGCTTAATGTGAGACCTTGTATCTATAATTACTTCCCATCACAGTGTTGCTCTTGATACCAGTGAGCCTTACCAAATTTAAGAGTGTCTATTGGATTTCTACATGCTTCCTGTTGTTATAAATGGACATCATATTTTATATCATTTTAACAATTAGGTTATTGAATACTCCTCTGCATGAAACAATCAGTTGTTTTAATTGTTTTGTTGTTTTGACCGTGTGTATAAAAGTTCTTAATATTACCTACAATCAATTGTTTTGATCATCACAATATTCCTACCAGAATAATTTTCCATTCCTTTTCTTACATCTACTATGTAGTTATCTGTATGCTACAATCTGTTACTTCCAGCAATATCATTTTTTCCTCTAGTATTGAAACCAACAATATTGATGATTTCTTTAGTCTCTGTTCTTCCCTTGGTGTTACTGTCCTTTGCAGAAGTATAGATACTTGCTCCTGCAGTCTCAAATGTTCTTTCTTATAAGATAGTTTGATGCATCAGGATATGAAGATAGTGACTCCGAGATTACATCCTTAATTTCATTAACCATTTCATCCTCAATGTTGCAAATCTGTTTATGATTGATGCTCTTTTGCTGAGAATAAATCCTTGCCTACAGTCTTCTGGCTTTCCTAGATATGCTCAGAACTGCAGAGAGCATACATATAATTATGACGTTTAGTTCATAGTCTGCCAAATAGATAGCAATGTTGGGAGAGGCTGTTGCCAATAAGTAGAAACCATATAACCACTTAAATGCTGCAGTTGCTAAAAAAAACAATGTAGTCCTAGGCCAGTGATGGCAAACTTTTTAGAGACCAAATGCCCAAAAACCTCCTCGCTCCTACCCCGCCTTGCCTCTCCTGTCTGCAGGGCTACCCACCGCCTCCACAGCCTGCCACAGCAGATTGCTCAGTAGTGTCATGGCGACCACGCCTTCTGTCCGTGCCCTACAGCATCATCTGCACGCAATGGGGTACGAGGGCAGAATCTTGTCCTTGCTGCCCGGCTGCCATGTCCTTGTCTGCGTTGCTCTGCGCAGACTACTCCCGGAGTGACTCTCCTCTGGAGGGGGGCTGCTGGTGAGGGGGCCATGGGGGTGGCGCGATGGGGCGACGGTGTGCGTGCCCATAGAGAGGGCTCTGAGTGCCACCTCTGGCACGCGTGCCATAGGTTCGCCACCACTGTCCTAGGCTGTATCAAGAGAGGGATAGTATCAAGATCACATGAAGTGTTTGTCCCACTTTATACTGCATGGATAAGACCACACTTGGAATATTGCATCCTGTTCTGGTCAGCACAATAAAAAAAAAAAATACTAAGATTCTAGAGCAGAGGCCCCCAACCTTTTGGGCACCGGGGACTGGTTCTGTGGAGAAAGATTTTTCCGCAGACCAGAGGGGGCGTAGTTTCGTGTGCTGCCTGCATCCCATGGATGGGGCTTTGCTTGTTTTGCATGGCCCAGTGCTGGTGCACAGACCAGGGGTTGGGGACCCCCGATCTAGAGAATTCAGAAAAGAGGAACAAAGATGATTAGGGGACTGGAGGCTAAACTATATGAATAGTTGTAGCAACTAGGTATGTCTAGACCAGCGGTTCTCAACCTGTGGGTCGGGACCCCATTTGGGGTCAAACGACCATTTCACAGGGGTCGCCAAACAACGCAGTCCGCCATTTTTTCCCCTTTTCCTTAGCTGTGCTACTCCCTTTTATTCTATTGGCTTTTGAAAGCCAATAGAACAGATTCTCTTGAATAGAGTCTAATTCTATTGGCTTTCAAAAGCCAATAGGAATTGTCCAGGCTGTCTCTGCCCTGCTGAGCCCGCCAAAAGTCCCATTCTGCAAACCGTGCTGCAAGTTGCCTGCAGCGAAGGCGAGCTGTCTGGAAGTTTCCACCCCTCCCTGCTGAGCAACTACTAAAAATGTAAGTAAAAGAGGCCCAGGGGTGGGAGGTGGGAGGTCAGCAGGCGCAGGGAGGGTTGCTGGTGCGCGTGGGGCCCGGCAGGTGCCTTACCTCCCTTGGGCTGGGCCAGCTGGTGGCCCAGCCGGTGGTTCTGCTCTGTCTCTGCTGCTTGCCACCTATGCCTTGGCTGGCGCAGGGGGCAGCACCACGCATGCGCGGCACTCCCGGGCAGGGAAAGTCCTCGACTTACGACCGGTCGGATAGTTCTCGACTTACGACTGGTTTAGTCCTCAACTTACGACCAGTTGTTTAGTCCTCGACTTACGACTTATGGGGTCACGGCATTAAAAAAGTTGAGAACCACTGGTCTAGACTAAGAAAGAGAAATAGGGTGACATGATAGTAGTCTTCCAATATTTGAGGGGTTGTCACAGCGAAGAGGGCTTGACCTATTCTCCAAAGCACCTGAGGGCAAGACAAGAAATAACAGATGGAAGATTATCAGAGAGAGAGATCTAATCTAAAACTAAGAGAAATTTCCTGACCAGTGGAATGGATTGCTTCTAGAAGTTGTGGGTGCTCCATGACTGGAGGCTTTTAAAAAGGGATTGGACAGCCGTTTTTCCAAAATGATATAGGTTGTCCTGCTCAAGCAGGGGTTTGGGCTAGAAGACTTCCAAGATCCCTTCCAACTGTGTTATTCTGTATATATTGGACTAGATGAAACAATGGTCTTAAAAGTATTTTGTAGTTGCATGTGAGTATTGTTATATATTGTATTAAATAAAATCAGATTGAAAATAGCTTTTAAAATGTGACTATGTTCCCCTAGATTGGTTCTAATATCTTTAGAACACTTCCTCCAAGTGAAAATCCTGATTTTGATCCAGAAGAGGATGAGCCTACATTAGAAGCTTCTTGGCCCCATATACAGGTAACTTTTTCAGATTCGTTGTTGATATTCATGCCAGCTTTATTAGGATTACAGATATTGGATGCAATATCAAACAAAGTCATGTTTTCTATGTCTTGCTGCTGTACTTGCGGTCATCCGGATTTCAGCTCAGGTAACCCTAAAATTTTGTCACCTACCATCAGTTCTGCAAAGGCAATATATACAATCTGTTTTCAAATCATTCCATATGGTCACCTGATTTCTACCTTCCAGGGTTCTGAAATGTTATTTTTCCTGTTTGATTTACATTTTTCCTTTTTTTTTTTTTCATTCAGTCCTATCTTCTAAAATGCAGGACCTGCTATCAGTAAACTTACTGGTTTTACTGTTACCAAATTAAACCCTGGTTCTTCTTTACCCTCAACCTATAATTTGTTCCTGCCTTGGATGCTATTGGATTATGTCCTCTGGCCTTAACTAGATTGAATTCTTTGTTTTTTAACTTGCATTTAGTATTGGTGCAGCAGCTGTGAGTAGAGGCAAACTCACCTCTGCATAATAAGGCTTAATAAATCTTTTATTGGCTCTTCTAGAAAAAAAATTAAGCATAATTGCCCTGAGGAAGGTTGGTAAGATGTTTGTGGGATTCATATTGGATGGTGATGATAGTAAGCTTCTTTTGGTTTGGTTTCTCAACCTGAACAGCTTTAAGATGTACGGACTTCAATCCCCAGATTTCTCCCCCAGCCAGCATGCTTTAAAGAAACCCTTTAAGAAGCCTAATTGCCTGAAAACAACTGCAAACATTAAGCATGGAATTACCTCCAGTAATTAATCTTTTTAAAAAGTCTTTTAAAAACTCTTTATGACCTTTGTTCAAAGATACTGTAACTGGTTAGTGTTAACCCTGGTGCACTTATAATGTTGTTGTTACTTGCGAAGTCGTGTCCGACCCATCGCGACCCCATGGACAACGTTCCTCCAGGTCTTCCTGTCCTCTACCATCCTCTGGAGTCCATTCAAATTCACACCTACTGCTTCAGTGACTCCATCCAGCCATCTCATTCTCTGTCGTCCCCTTCTTCTATTGCCCTCAATCTTTCCCAGCATTAGGCCCTTCTCCAGTGAGTCCTTCCTTCTCATTAGGTGGCCAAAGTATTTGAGTTTCAACTTCAGGATCTGGCCTTCTAAAGAGCAGTCGGGGTTGATCTCTTCTAGGACTGACCGGTTTGAACGCCTTGCAGTCCAAGGGACTCGCAGGAGTCTTCTCCAGCACCATAGTTCAAAGGCCTCAATTCTTTTGCGCTCAGCCTTTCTTATGGTCCAACTTTCACAGCCATACATTGCAACTGGGAAAACCATGGCCTGGACTATACGCACTTTTGTTGGCAGGGTGATGTCTCTGCTTTTTAGAATGCTGTCTAGATTTGCCATAGCTTTCCTCCCCAGGAGCAAGCGTCTTTTAATTTCTTGGCTGCAGTCCCCATCTGAGGTGATCTTGGAGCCCAGAAAAATAAAATCTGTCACTACCTCCATTTCTTCCCCATCTATTTGCCAGGAATTGAGAGGGCCGGATGCCATGATTTTGTTTTCTTAATGTTGAGTTTCAAGCCAACTTTTGCACTCTCCTTCTTCACCCGCATCAAGAGGCTCTTTAGTTCCTCTTCACTTTCTGCCATTAGAGTGGTATCATCTGCATATCTTAGGTTGTTGATATTTCTCCCGGCAATTATAATACAAAAAAAAAAAAAAAATAGCACTAAAAAAGGAAGAATTGGTTATGTAATAAATAGGAAGAGATGCAAGAGATCATGCAGAAGAAAATAACATGGAAACCTCAAGAGCAGGTCTGGTTTCGTGTCTGTTTTGTGCAATGGACTTGAGAGAAGTTGTTCTCGCAGCTTAAAAATTATAGTAGTGGGTCATAAGAGCCTGAACTGTTAATATGCTAGTTAATATGCTAATATTAGCATGTTGAATTTTATTGAAATGGATTTCTGTATTTTCTAATGGGCTTTGCCAATATATATGAAATGTATTGCATATGAAAGTGGTTTTTACAACATTTATTTTATTCTTTCATAGCTGGTGTATGAATTTTTACTAAGGTTTTTAGAAAGTCCTGATTTCCAACCCAGCATTGCAAAACGTCATATTGACCAGAAATTTGTACAGCAGGTAAATATTCATCTGAAATATATAGTTTTAGCTTAGATTGATATTTTTAAATGTAAATGTTTCTTTTGCGGATGGAAGATTCATTTTGTTTTATAGGAATATTTTTAGACAGGCATATTTACTGTATAAACTATAAAAAGGGAGGAAATGACATTTTTTGAAGATACTCCTTTTGAGTTGCAAAGCGGTTATGTATCTTTCTTCCCATACTGTTGCAAAGTACACGGAGTCATAGGTTTGGAAGGGACCTTGGCGGCCTTCTAGTTCAACCCCCTGTCCATACATCCCACTCCCACAATTGGAGAGTATGCACACATTTCCCTTCTGACTACTGTTGAAGAATATGTTCCAAACAGTGCAGCCCAATTTGGTGTGTTTCAGGTGGAGCACAGATAAAAATTGACTCTATTAGTGGTTTCCCTCAAATCAGAGATCAGAGTTTAAGCCAGCATTCCTTATATTGTTAAACCAGGGGTGTCAAACTCGCAACATCACGTGACGTGTCACGACAAATCGTGACTTTTTTGCCATTGCCGGCAATAGGGTGGGTGCGGTTTCGCACGGGCCAGCAGTTTGACACCCCTGTGTTAAACAGAGGGAGAAATAAAAGCGTAACCTATAAGACATGTAAGATTGGCACTATTGAATTGTCATTCTGTATTACATTGATTTTTTAAAAAAAAAATATGGCAAAGATAACTGTATAGTGGGCTTTGCATATCTTATGTAAACATTATTAAGGTATAGAAATGCATTATTACATAAATAATATTCTGTTCCTTATTTTTAAGATGAGGCAGTACACACTGCATTTGTTAGCAGTAATTACAGTGCTACCACACAGTAGCTATGGTTTGGTTAGTCTCAGTTTAGCATATCCTTGTTATTGAATTTGTTTGCCTATGACCAGTAAGACTGTTTGTATTTCTGTCTAAGCACTTGCTGATCTTGACCTTCTGAAAGATTTATCCTCATGAACTCCCTGCCATACATTTGCAAATTGTTTATTGTTGGCATTGTATTGTTGAATCCATCTTGAACTTACCTTAGTTTATGTGGGAAGGTGTGGAATAAATTTGGTTGAATTTATATACCAATGAGTGCTTATTGAAGTAATAAACAATACTTTATTAACAGCTGTTGGAGCTTTTTGACAGTGAAGATCCACGAGAGCGTGACTTTCTAAAAACAGTACTTCATCGAATTTATGGCAAATTTCTTGGATTAAGAGCATTCATCAGGAAACAAATCAACAATATTTTTCTCAGGTATAATATATATTGTTTACAATCTTACTAACAACTTTTGCATATATTAAATTTGTACTTTAAAAAGTACAGAATTAATAACCCACAACTTGTTCTTAATGCACTAATAACATATTTGGAGTTAAACCTCTGAAAGGCTTTGGGTAATTAGTTTGCCCTCAACTGTCCCACAGGACAAATTGACTTAATTGCTTGAGGTTTTTTTAGTTGTAAAGGTTGCAAAGGATTCAGAAGGTTAAAGCATCTTTTTTTTTATGCCTAGATTTTGAAGGAGCTCTGGAGCTAGGCCTGTTTGGGACCATTTGTGGGCTGTAGGTTACCTGTCTGTGTTCTGAAGGGTTGTTGTGATCTGCTTTGGATTTTCCCCATGATGTATAATAGCTATTTTAAGGCAAAATTCTTGCATCAACTGGAAGGTGCATTCTGCTTTTCCTGAGTTTTCAGGAAAAATACTAATCCCTCAACTGTCACGTGGAGAACTTTTTAATATTTAATTGTATTTTCCTCTTCACTTTTTGGTGAAACATTAACTGCAATTTTTTTAAAACAGGTTTATCTATGAAACAGAACATTTCAATGGTGTTGCTGAGCTACTTGAGATACTGGGGAGGTAGGTTGATTTCTTCATTGCAGTTAGGAAGGACCAAGGTTTGCATCAGTTTTTTTTTAAAAAAAAATTACTGTAACCAGTGGTTACAGTTATTGTCACCAACCCAGTCATTATCAGGCCTGCCGGGGAGATAAAGCTGCTGTAACTGGAATGAGCTCTTGGAGTTAATGTACTCCTGGGAGGACCAAGAGCTTTGCAAGAAGATCCCATATGGACATTGTTACTGGCCTTAGAAAATCAGGCATTTGAGTAAATATGCTTCCAGAAAACATTAAGGAGGTGTACTGTGAAGTTCAGATGACTTGCAGATGGGGACATCATCTACAAACATATGTTAGGCAGTATGCAATATCACAGTTATGTGTCTGCAATGTAGATAGACCTTGACTGAATAACTGTAATTGAGCCCACAATTATAGTTGTAAGCTGAGCCAGTTTTTAACAGGTCATCATATGACCATCCTGATTTATGTCTTTTTTTGTAGTAGTAGTAGTCATAAAACAAGCCTATTGTTTGCAATGGGTGATTTTTGTTAGAAACCAGAAGTAAACACTGATTTCCTGTAAGAAACTAGTAAATTGTGGACATGTGACCATGGGATGCTGCAAATGGATATAAATGAGAGCTGGTTGCCGAGAGTCCAAAATGCGACCACATGATCGTTTGAAAGGGGATGGATGCCAAAACATTTAATCTTGGTCATAGTAACTTTTTGGGGATTGTCGTAACTTCAACCGTTCGCTAAGCAACTGGTTATTAAGCGAGACTGCCTGTAGAACAGATATTGCTAATCTGATACCTTCCTTTCCTTTTTACTTTCAAACAGGGTTTGATAGATTTGACCAGAAAAAAGGGAAGGAAAAAAGAAAATGAAAATCTCATGGTATTAGCAGAAATCCCCACGCATAAAGTTGTATGAGGTCCATAAACTGCATGTAATTAATTTTACATTTAATGGAACAGTTACAATTTTCCTGCAGTTCCAAATGTGTTTTTTTTTATTTGTAAACTTTTCCATACCTTAGAAATGACCTCAAGTTGGTGCAAATTGGAGAACTGAATCTGCAGTGATTTAGTTTCTATCCTTCTTAAAGCACTTTTTTCTCGGTTGGTGGAATGTGCAGTAGGTGCTAATATTGGGAACCAAGCAGCCCAAAGTAGTGGATACTAACAAGCAGCATGTAGGATTTGCTTATTTGTAACTACTAATTTCAGCAACGAGATTGGAAAAGCCACTGGTCTTTATTACCCTGTGGAAATTAGAGCTGGTCTTGTTCTATGTATTTATAGGAATAATGTTATTCACAATCTTCAGAATAAAATGTAAACTTAAAAAATACACATTTATTACATGAATTGCTATAGTATATAGTAAGTTTTCATATTGAATCTGTTTTTTTCTTCTCAGTATTATCAATGGTTTTGCATTGCCATTGAAAGCTGAACATAAACAGTTCCTTCTGAAGGTTCTTATTCCCATGCATACTGCAAAGGGATTAGCTTTATTTCACGCACAGGTATGTTGATCCAAGGAAATAAAATATTACTTCATGTTGAAGCTCACATAGTGTTGTAGTTATTTAATAGCACAAGTTGAATTTTTAAGGGGCAGAAGTCATTATTTAAAGATACATAACTTTAACTTTAATATATTTCACACAGTGGAAAATCAGAATGAATATTTATTTCCACACTGCTAATTATGAACCAATATTGTAAAATAAATAAATGTTTTTCCTCAGCTACTTGTACTTTTGAATTTATAGTATCTATTATTGATTGTATATTGTAATTTTAAAAATAACTTATCTCTATGTTCCTACGGGCATAGCTTGAAATCTCTGCTTCCCAAGGTGTTTGATAGAATAGTTAAACAGAGTATTAACCAATAATATTAAATAGTAATTATCTGCCCTTTGAGAGTCATCTGATGATGCAATCAGCGTGTGGCACTGGAAAATGTTCCTCTTTGTGCTTGATAACTGAGTTTATGGCATTCATTGTGATCCTGTGCTACATGATGCTTATAAGAGTCTTTATTTTTCAAAATGGAAGATTTATTATATTTATTACATACATACATACATATATCTTCCATTTATATAATATAAATAAAATATTAACGAAGTGTACTTTGAATTCATACAATCAGTGACATCAATTTTTCCTCTTCATCAAAGGGATTATTGTACCAGTCTTTGAAATAAAAAGAGTTCATGCCTCGATATGCTTGGTATTCAGAGAAGATAGAACAGCCATCAAATATTTGTACAGTCTATAAAGTTCCAAAAGAGGCTCAGTGCAGGCAAAAAACCGTATGTATGAATCTGTCCCAAAGATTTGTTTCACAAGGCAATTGGACTTTCTTGTTTTTCTTTGAAGAAATTTTGCTTCTCATCCAAGAAGCTTCTTCAGCTCTGACTGGACGGTGGGAAATGGAAGGACTTTTATACCCCTTGCAGACAGCCGGTCATTTGCATTCTTTAGAGAGTCATTGAGGCCACCTGGAGGTTTATGTGTGTCATCAGAGTCACCTGAGTAGTGCAAATGGATGTTTGAGCCTTCTTGGAACTGTTGAAAGGATTATGTTGTAGACTGGAGATAGATGATGTCGTATCTCTCCCCCTCTGTTGAGAGGGGCATTCAGTTTTGACATAGATGGCTTCTTTGATCCCTCCTTCAAATCAGTGGTCCTCTCTGTCAAAAATGTGGATTTTCCTGTCTTAGAAAGAATGGCCTTTGTCTTTTAAATGCAGATGGACTGCTGAATCTTGTCCTGATGGGTTTATTCTCCTATGTTGTGCCATACATTTATGAAGTGGTTGTTTTGTTTCCCCAATGTACAGATCTGCACATGGCTCACTGCATTGTAATACATGTACCACATTGGTCAGTTTGTGTCTGGGTGTTTCATCCTTGGGATGGACAAGCTTCTGCCTTATGGAATTCTTGGGTTTGAAGTGTACATGTATGTTGTGTTGGCTGAAGACCCTCCTGAGCTTTTCCGATATTCCTGCAACGTATGGAATGACAATGTTGCTTCATTTATTATTTTCTTCTTTGTCTGTTACGGAGGAGCTCCTGCTGGGTCTTTTTTGGGATTTGATGAAGGCCCACTTGGGATAGCCCCAAGTTCTGAGGGCTTCCTTGATATGTTTTAGTTCTTTTTCTTTCCCATCTTTGCTTGTAGGCAGGCCTTCAGCTTGGTGATGTAGAGTTCTGATAACTCCCATTTTGTGCTCCAGTGGGTGGTGAGAATCAAAATGTAAATATTGATCTGGGTGTGTAGGTTTTATGTAAATTTCAATGTTAAGGCTTCTGTCTTCCTTAATGTGTACTGCACAGTCCAGGAAGGCTAAACTCTTTTCCTTAACATCTTCCCATGTGAATTTTATGTATCTGTCCACCGAGTGGATATGTTTGGCGAATACTTCCAATTCCTATGTTTTGATCTTGATCCAAGTATCATCCACATATCTATACCAGTATGTGGGTGGAATTCCTATGAAGGAGTTTAGGGCTTTGCTTTCTATCTCTTCCATGTAGAGATTGGCTACAATGGGGGACACAGGTGAATCCATGGCACAGCCATGATTTTTTTCTGTAGAAACCTTCACTATATTAAAAATAGGTAGTGGTCAGGCAGAGGTCCAGCATGGAATATATGTGGTCTGGACTGAGATTGGTTGGTTTGTAGCAGTTGTTTCTTCATTACCGTGATAGTCTCAGTCCATTCCCCACCATCCAGTCAGAACAAAAGAAGCTTCTTGGATGAGAAGTGAACTGTCTTCAAAAAAAAAAAAAAATAACAAGAAAATCTAGTTGCCTTGTGAAAAAACATCTTTGGGACAGCTATGACCTGGATGAATGAGAATCTTCATAGACATACATATGAATGACAGATGACCATTCAAAGAATATGTTACAGATAATATCGTTGAAATTATGAGAATTTAATAATGCTGTAATGAATTATGAATTTTCAAAAACTTTTTTAAAGCTGGCATACTGTGTTGTTCAGTTCTTGGAAAAAGATATGACATTAACAGAGCCGGTAAGTATTGTTATTTTAATTTCTCTTTGAACTTTTGCAATATAGTTCAAACTTGGATCTAGCAAACTTAGGTGTAGTAAATAATAATGATTATCCAAGTCACTGTATCAATGTGATTCAGCAGCTAGAGTTTTCAGCAAGAAACCACAATTCATATGAAGCCTATATAGAACATCCTATCATTATTTACAGTGTATCAATAGAATAAGAATAGAAGACTTTTCTATACATGTGCCCCAGAAATTAATGGAAGACACTTATTGTCCATGGCAAATCCTGCCCAGAATCCTGGTATCTTCATTTGTTTCACTTTACAAATGCTTTGCTTCTAAAGCAAGTCATTGGCTTTCAATTACTAGTTGTGAAGTGTATTTTAATTCTAAGATATTTCTAAAACCAGCCTTATGCTGTCATACTGAATCAACTTATCCAGTCATTTATAACTGGAGTAATTACCAGTATACAGTTTGTTATATTAATGCAACAGATATATATTTTCTGTGAATTGTGTTTTCCACAGAATAGTCTAGTTAAGAAATGATTGAGAAATATACTTAAATAGGGAAAGGACAGGCAATAGAAATTCTAGAGCAGTGGTCCCCAACCTTTTTGGCACCACAGACCGGTTTTTGGGGAAGACGTTTTTCCATGGACCGAGGGGGATGGATGGTTTTGATTTTGTTTATTCTCCTGCTGCTCATGTCCAGCTGTACGGTCCACTTCCTAACAGCCAGAGGGGTTGGGGACCCCTGTTCTAGAAAATATGTGGGGATTTTATTTTTAAAAAATGTTACATGCAATGGTGGGATTCAGCCAGTTCGCACCAGTTGCCCAGGCCCAGAATGGACTTCCAGAAGCGGCATCCACACAGAGAACCAGTTGTTCACATATTTGAATCCCACCACTGGTTACATGCAGGCATTATGTCTGACTGAGCTCTAAATTAATGTCTGCATTTGTTGTATAATCTCAGTCAGTTACAGTGTGGGAAACGATCCCCTGCTGATTTTGTACATTTGCCCACTGACAAAGAAATGATCAGTCTATAATTTTAATGGTAGATTTATTTTAACAGTGAGACACAGAATAACAACAAAAAATCCAGAAAAATGCATTTCAAACAAGTTATAAATTGATTTGCATTTTAATGAGTGAAATAAGTATACGACCTCTTTGCAAAACATGACTTAGTACTTGGTGGCAAAACCCTTGTTGGCAGTCACAGAGATCAGACATTTCTTGTAGTTGGCCACCAGGTTTGCACACGTGTCAGGAGGGATTTTATCCTACTCCTCTTTGCAGATCCTCTCCAAGTCATTAAGATTTTGAGGCTGATGTTTGGCAGCTCGAATCTTCAGTGCCTCCACAGATTTTCTATGGGATTAAGGTCTGGAGACTGGCTAAGCCACTCCAGAACCTTAATGTGCTTCCTCTTGAGCCACTCCTTTGTTGCCTTGGCCATGTATTTGGGTCATTGTCATGCTGGAATACCCATCCATGATCCATTTTCAATGCCCTTGCTGAAGAAAGGAGGTTCTGACCCAAGATTTGATGGTACATGGTCCTGTCCATTATCCCTTTGATGCAGTGAGGTTGTCCTGTCCCCTTAGCAGATAAACACCCCCAAAGCATAATGTTTCCCCTTCCATGTTTGATGGTGGGGATGGTGCTCTTGGGGTCACAGGCAGCATTCATCCTCCTCCAAACATGGCAAGTTGAGTTGATGCCAAAGAGCTCGATTGTGGTCTCATCTGAGCACAACACTTTCACCCAGTTCTCCTCTGAATCATTCAGATGTTCATTAGCAAACTTCAGACGGGCCTGTACATGTGCTTTCTTGAGCAGGGCGACCTTGCGGGCGCTGCAGGATTTCAGTCCTTCACGGTGTAGTGTGTTACCAATTGTTTTCTTGGTGACTATGGTCCCAGCTGCCTTGAGATCATTGACAAGATCCTCCTGTGTAGTTCTGGGCTGATTCCTCACAGTTCTCATGATCATTGAAACTCCACGAGGTGAGATCTTGCATGGAGCCCCAGACCGAGGGAGACTGAGTTAGTTTGTGTTTCTTCCATTTGCGAATAATCACACCAACTGTTGTCACCTTCTCACCAAGCTGCTTGGTGATAGTCCTATAGCCCATTCCAGCCTTGTGTAGGTCCACAATCTTGTCCCTGACATCCTTGGACAGCTCTTTGATCTTGGTCATGGTGGAGAGTTTGGAATCTGATTGATTGCTTCTGTGGACAGCTGAGATTAGAAGTATTCCCTTTAAGAGAGTGCTCCTAATCTCAGCTCGTTACCTGTATAAAGGACACCTGAGAGCCAGAAATCTTGCTGATTGATAGAGGATCAAATACTTATTTCACTTATTAAAATGCAAATCAATTTATAACTTTTTTGAAATGTGTTTTTCTGGATTTTTGTTGTTATTCTCTCACTGTTAAAATAAAGCTACCATTAAAATTATAGACTGATCATTTCTTTGTCAGTGGGCAAACATACAAAATCAGCAGGGGATCAAATTATTTTTTCCCTCACTGTATCCTTAAATTCAAGAAATCATTGTTAACCTATTATGGGTTAATATGATGAGTGAATCCAGTAATTCATTAATCTGTTATCTCTCATTTAAAAATGTAAAATGAAAAAACTTTGCAATATAGTTGGGACAAAATCCATTTTTGAAGATACATCTATGTCAAATACATTGAACAAAATGGTTGAATTTTGTAAATCTAAAGACAGTATTGTCATCATTCAAGTACCGTTATCAGTTTTCATCGATATGCTCTGATGAGTTTTCATTTTTGCCACCCCAGGTTATCAGAGGACTGCTGAAATTTTGGCCAAAAATATGCAGCCAGAAAGAGGTAAGTTTGATTATTTTTCTAAAGCATTATACTAAAATCAGTTTACTATAGCTCAGCAGGTTTATCCCAGCTATAATATGGATAATGCATAAAGTCTCCATTTTCATCTTAAGAAAATTATCTTGGCACCCTAAGGAGAGCCTTAACCATGGCCCTTCTTTGTAAGAATCCTGTGGGATTAGAGTTCTTACTTACCTGTCTATGATAAGGCAGCATGACAGGTTATTATGCAGAACATAAGTATTCTCTTTGTATCTCCTTCCAATGCACACTTCCCCAGGCTGATACACTTCAAACTGTGCTTTTGAAGGGAGTGTAGAGTTTTCATTCCTTTTCTAGTATGCTGCCTATTTATGGACCTTGAGAAAAACAGATCTGAGTCTTGCATGCAAATATCAGGCTGGAAGGAACTGTGCCCTGCATATTCTTAAGAAATAAGTATTACACTGTATTAAAATGGAAATAATTAAATGTTGTGTTTTAAGAATTAAATGACTATTGGAATCTTACTATAAAAAGATAATGTATTTGTACCTTTTTCATGTTATATAGTAGTAAATAGTACAGTGTTATGTGTAATAATAGAATATATAAATATTGTTCACATTTTGTTTTACAGAATTTTAGTCATATTGAGTGTGGACATTCTAAATTATATGTTATTTTAAATATAGTTGCTGCAGAATATTTGTGCTTACAATAGTTTAGCTCTGAATCACAAGCTGAGTATCTGTGTAAACCTGTATTTATCCATATAAAATCCTAGGAATTTTTAATTTGGATAATTTTTAAATCATTTACTAAATCATCTCAATAGGTGGTTTTAAGAATACAAGATACGTAGCATTGCTGATATTTAAAAGATGAGGAGTTTGTTGGTTGCTACTGCTACTGGGTTGTTTCAGTAATTTATATCAAATTAAAGATACTTTATTTATGTAAAAAAAAACCATGGGCAAATAGAATTAGCATAGATTACAGAAAATCCTATCAGTAGATGAAAAAAAAAATATTTTTCAGTCAATTGTCTTTCTGAATGGTAATGATGTTATTATACAAATCTTTCTTGCCTAAACATTTTTTCTTTGTAACAGGTCATGTTTTTAGGTGAAATTGAAGAAATTCTGGATGTAATAGAACCAACACAGTTCAAAAAAATACAAGAGCCTCTTTTTAAACAGATAGCAAAATGTGTGTCAAGTTCACATTTTCAGGTATAACTTTAGATTTTCAATATTTAAACATAGGTACTATCCAGTCTCATTATCCTGATATTTTAAATGTGTATTTCAGATTGCAGAAAGGGCTCTGTACTTTTGGAATAATGAATACATTCTTGGTCTGATTGAAGAGAACATTGATACAATTTTGCCAATTATGTTTGGCAGTTTATATAAGATCTCCAAAGAACACTGGAATCAGTATGTACTTCTTACTGTTTAGTCTTTTAAAATGCTTTTATGTGTTGTGGATTAGTTTTGGGCTTAAATCCTTTGGTTTGTAGGGCACAAACACCATGTTAAAAGAATGCACTTGTGTATATGAAAATGCATGAGGAAACAATTTTGCACAGAACTGCAAATGCTGAATCATTGATACTGCTACTTGTAAGATGTGTTTTGAAATGATTTATTATACATTGTCATAAAATCATAAAGTTGGAAGTGACTTCAATTCATCTAGTGCAACCCTCTGCTCAGTACAGGATCCATTAGAGCATTTTCTGATAGACGACTATCCAATCTACAGTATGTTTAACAACCTCCAGTGAAGAAGATGCCTCTTTATGAGGCAATCTATTCCACTGATTTATAATTCTTATGATAGAAAAATCCACCTCATATCTCTTACCTGAATTGACTTCCTTATACTTTCACCCTAGGGCTCTGATAGTTTCGCACAAGGCAAAAGAGAAGAGACATCATCTAATGACATATTTCTCCTCAATCTGCTTTTACACAGGCTAAATCTTTTCAGTTCTTTTAACTATTCTTCATAGGATTTCATTTCCAGTCCATATTACCTTGGTACCATCCTCTGAACTTCTTTCAGTTTACGGGTTTCCTTTTTTAGAGTTCAGTGACCAAGCAGAATAATGTTGTGAGTGGGACCTCATCAAGGCAAAATAGAGTGGGACAACTGATCCCATGATCTCTGTAATCTGTACTCCTGTCTATATATTCCAAAATAGCATTTGCATGGTTAGCAACTGCATCAAATTATTAACTATTGTTTAATTTGTGATCTGCTTGAATACTCAGATCCTTTTCATGTTGCTACTGCCAAGCAGATCTCCCCCATTGTTGTGTTTTTGTTTTGTTTTTCTCCTTAGTTATAGGAGGATTTTTTATTTGGATTACAGTTTAAACCTCTGTAGATTTTTTTTTTAATCTTCTCTTTCTCTTCTGAAGTGTTTTGTGCCATCTGCAGATTTGGTACTCATTCCCTCAACCCCACCCAGTCACTTGGTTGAATAAATAAATAAAAACAAACTTCTTCCAGTTCAGTAATAAAAAGGTTGGTCCAAAAACAGATTTGTGGCACTCCATATTGTGCTGCTGTCCAGATTGATAAGGAGACATTTATGAGTGGCTATTCATCCAATTATAAATCCGTGCAACAGTAATATCATCTAGCCCAGGGATAGGCAACCTTGCCTGTTTTATGACTCGTGGAGTTTAACTCCCAGAATTCCTGAGCCAGCCATGCTGGCTCAGGAATTCTGGGAGTTGAAGTCCACGAGTCATAAAAGAGCCAAGGTCTGATCTAGCCCATATTTTACAGTTTTATTGAGGATATGAATGCTTTGCTGTGATCAATGTACAACTTTTCAGCCAAAATGCAATAAAATGTTACTTACGGGGGAATACAGGTAATCCCCGAGTTACAAGTGTTCGAAGTTATGTGATGAGCGCCCCCTAGTGCTTACGAGCAAGTCCCAAAGTTACAAATATTGCAGCACCACGGTAGTCGTTCTCCCTTACGAGCGAACGTTAAAATTAATCAAATGTTTGTTATAAATCATAAAGGAATTTATGTTAATGGAAACTCACTCTCAAGGAAATCATTTTGCTATTCAGATAATCTTATCCCTTGATTTTTATTTATTGCCAAGCAAATTTAGTTGAAATACTAAATCTAGGAGCCCTTATGAATATAATTTTGCATTTTGTACTTTAGATTTGGGCAGCACCCTTTGGGCATGCTCTTGACTTTGACTTAAATTAGATTGTAATTTTGCTGCTATTTATTATGATAATAATTCCATCACACTGTTGCTTTAAGTTTGAATGAAGACAAACAAATCTAATGTCCATGCTTTGAGTTTGCAGATCCCATCATTTCAAAACTAAGTGCAATTGTTTATTTTATATAAAATGGTGGCAGAATGAAAGCAGAAGCTAGATAATCAGACTAGATGATAGAATATATCTCTTAACAATACTTTTGCAACTTACCCTGTTGTTCTAGGACCATTGTAGCATTAGTATATAATGTGCTGAAAACACTGATGGAGATGAATGGGAAACTATTTGATGAACTCACAAGCACTTACAAAGCAGAAAGACAAAGGTACACTTTTCCAATTTGATTACAAATCATGTGCCTGAAACAGTCTTCCAGATTAATGCTGATTTGCCATTAGAATAAAAAAATAGTTTTGCAAATGAATGATCTCTCCCTACTATTCACATTAACAATGTTTATCCATTTCTACTAAATAAATGCATCCCTTCCTTAACCTCGTTTCTTCTGAGGGGCTTTGCTTAGGATACTTAGCCTTGTTTTGTACTTAGCACCTCTTCCTGCTACACATCCAGTCCTTTCTTTTTCACCTTTGCTTTTGCGAGGATTTGTGCTTATACTTGAGGTTTTCTGACTAAGGGCTGTTTCAGTTTTTCTCTTGCCCATGTAATAAGGTACAGATACTTTCTTTCTTTTTACTAACCCATTGATTGTAGTTAATCCACCTAGCTTTTCCCCCAGGGGCATCTTACCAACTGTATGTTGAGGCATCAGCTTGCACATCCATATAAGATGCCTGCCTCAGCAGAAGCTTTGGGACATCTCCACCTGCTATTAGAGGGGTAATTAGCAGTCACATGGGACACAACCTTTCCCAGGTTACCTTTGCTTCAGCATTTTTTTTTCTGTTGAGATTTTGTTGCTCTGTATGGCAATGTGCTTCTGTTTGTTTTTACATATATACAGGTGGGCTTTCATTGAGCGTATGGAAGGAAATGTTGGTAAGGAAGTAGCCCAAATAGTAATGCAGAGCTAATCTAATTCAGGATGGAGCTTTTCTGCACTGTAGCTCCACACCAAATTGTTTGAAAAGTTGTAGTCATCTTGTTTAATAGTGCCACTTTTTTCTCCTCTATCCTTTAGCAAATTCCTTATAAATTAAAGAAGAAAAGACACATTTAGGGTTGTGCTAATAGATCTATAACACGGGTGTCAAACTCGTCACATGACATGTCACAACATGTCACGATGTTTTTTGCATTGCCGGAGCTGGGGTGGGCGCAACCTCATGATGCAATCGGCCCATGGGCTGGCAGTTTGACATCCCTGATCTATAATTTATTAGGTCCTTACCAATCAGACTTCACTTCCAGAAAGAAATGAAACACATTCTCTTGCAAATGTTTCCCTGTTTGTGAAGCCTGGAGCAGTATGTAATGTAAATGTTAGAGGATTGTTTCTGAACCTCAGCAACTTTTAATATATGTGGGACTTTAACTCCCAGAATTCCTCAGCCAGTTATAGGCCAGTTATAGCTTGGTATATATAGGCTGTCAATCTGCCCTGATCTAGAGACACTTTGTTAAAAACTAGTATCTTAAATTAAGGGACATTTTTGAAAGATTTTCAATGTATTCAGAGTATCTTTTTAAAAACCTTCATGCTTTACTTCCTATTAGAAAAAAAATCTCAGGATTGCTAAGGATTAAAGGCAAAAAATATACTGTGGATTGTGTAGGGGACATGCACAATGTCTTGTCTGTAATTCCTTAAACTAAACACACCTGTTCCTGGAATTATAGTATGTTCCTGATAAGAGATACAGCTACAGGTAGACCTGCCTGCCTTATGGAGTGACCAAAGTTATGACAGTACTGAAAAAAACAATTTTGCAATCAAGGCATACATTTAATTACTTTTAAAGGGTTTCTTTCTCAGTCATATGTTTGCCATTAGTCAATTAGTATGCATTGTCCTGACCTTTTCCCTTTTTTTCACCTCAGAGTGGATATTGGAGAGAAAGGGCATTACAAGAGGAGAAGCAGGCACACAAATGAGAATACACATTGAATGGAATGCATTAGTGATGAGCCGTAATGGTGCAGTGGTTAGAATGCAGTACTGCAGGCTACTTGTGCTGCCTGCTGGCTGCCTGCAGTTTGGCAGTTCAATTCTCAAGATTGACTCAGCCTTCCATCCTTCTGGGATTGGTAAAATGAGGACCCAGATTATTAGGAACAATATGCTGACTCTGTAAACCACTTAGAGAGGGCTGTAAAGCACTGTGAAGAGGTATATAAGTCTGCTATTGCTAGTGCCAGTTGTTTGCGAAGCACACTTGCAGCCCAGCCCCTGGTGTGCTAGGCAAATAGACAATAGCAATATATATTCCCCATTGTGTGTCTGCTAATTCTTGTAATCTTATCCTCTCCAATGAATATAAATGCATAATTCCCTTCTTGCTAATATCCCAGCAAGAAGGGAATTATGCATTTAAATTCATTGCAGAGGAATCCTAAAGGATGGAGAAGTAAGGAAAAAAGTAAAATTGCAAGCAGAGTTCCTTTTCACTTAGTAACTAAGATGCTGGTCACAGCTGTGATCACTAAAGAAGTTGCAAAAAGGTTCTGTTTGAGCACCTCTGACACACTCTGAAGCACTGAATGTTGTTCTTGAGCATCTATAGAGAAACTTTCCAACTCTTTACTTTTTTGAGTAAAATACCAGAAAAATCTACTGGAACAGCTGAACTTTATATGGGCTGATCAGACTTAGTTTAATTAATGGCAGGTGTGTGCTGACCACTATTTGACATCAGTTTGAATGTGATTGTTTAATTCTGAACACATCCCTACTTATAAGAGTGTTACTTACGCAGCCACATTATTCTAGTTTTCCCCCCCCCCTTAACAAATTTCAGTTTGTTTTTAATTGAATTGTACAGCCAATACGTTATATTAAAGGTGGAAAAAATTCTGAAGTGATATATTTTGGTCTGATTTTTTTACATCTCAAAAATCTAGTATTTTAATAGGGATATATAGACTTTCTATATCTACTTTACATACTTTATGTGGCTTATTCAAGGAGTATGTTTTAGCAACAAATCCAATCTTTTAAAACATAATTTTTTAAAAAAGGGAACATAAACAGAGAAGTATTCTCTTATGCTCAAGACACACTGTTGTTTCTGGCTTAAGCTTGAGAGGAATACTTTGAAAATTCAATATATAATTTTAGCAGAAAGCCCTAAAATTAAAATTTGTTAACATAACTGGCTCCATTCTTTGTCTAAGCTGTTTTTCAATAGGAAGATTGGGTAACAATGTTTGAAAATACTAAAGAAATTACTGCGAAATCAGGCCATAAAAGCTTTGTATATATTTGAACCTCATCTAGCATCTTGTCTCTTAAGGTTTTGAACTGACAAAGACTATATGGCTCCATTCTTTGTCTAAGCTGTTTTTGGACAGGAAGCAGTGGTGGGATTCAAATATGTGAACAACCGGTTCTTTGTGTGGATGCTGCTTCCGGAAGTCCATTCTGGGCCTGGGCAACAAAAAATTAGCTACCGGTTCTGCTGAAGTGACACCAGCTGAATCCCACCACTGATAGGAAGATAGGTAACAAGCAATTTAAACATACTCCAATCTAAAAGTCACCCTCCCCCCCCATTATAATGCCAAGAAATGCAACCTCCTTACCTTTAACAGTAATATCTATTTGTACTTTAAAATGAAAGTCATTTCAACACTCTTTGATTACTATATTTTGTAGCACTACATATTAGAAGTTATTTATTCTCATAAAACTTTAGTTATATTTTCTCATTACCTTTTTTATTTTTCTAAACTTTAGGTTCTTTAAATACAGAGACCGGAGTGTTAAAAAAAAATTGCTAGTCAAACTATGATATTATTTAGCTCACTATTTTCTATACTGACTGGTACCGAACAGGTTCATGCTAGGATATTCAAGTTAATCTTTATGATATATTTAGGATTTCTGATCATCTTTATTAGCTTCTTACATGCATAATGGTTAAGAATCTTTCACGTTTCTTTCTTTTTTTTTTTTTACAGAGAGAAGAAGAAAGAATTAGAACGTGAAGAATTGTGGAAAAAGCTGGAAGAGCTCAGACTCAGCGGAACTTTGTCTAACCAGCCAAGTAATACCTCCTCCTCTCTGACAAATATACCAAATGATAGTGCCAAGTGAGTGTGAAAAAGCCTCTGTTTGTGAGGCATATCTTTTGTACACAGGTTTGTTTTTTTTTACAAAAAATGTAAAAAATGCAGAAGAGAAACCTCATCAGTATCTTTGAAATGGCCATCCCATCCACAAAATGTAAATGAAATTTTTTTGAATTGAAATACAGTAATTGAATGTGATATTATTTCTCATAGCATATTGTAAATTTGTCTCTAATCATTGCTATATTGTCAACTCTGACATCTCACAGAAAGGAATTTTATCATCCATGAAGTGTTTGATTTAATTATGGGAACGGTGAAATTTTGACTTGAAGTTTTTTTTTCTTTTTTAATTGTGTTGCACTTAGGCATAGATGTCAGGCAGCTTACATTTTCTCCCTATGTGCTTTTCATAGTGCTGCAGCCTTTGGCTGAGACTCAGGAAGAGACTTCTAGCTTTACTGTTTTTCCTGAAATGAAACTGATAATCTAATACCAAGTTGATGGGATTGACTCCCATGAAGCTTGGTGGGGTTTGCTTCTGAATAAACGTGTATCACTTGAGTTGAATTTGCCCATTACAATATCACGGGTCAGGCTATTTTTTAAGAATGTTTAGTTTAGACAGATTAAGATTCAAAATTATATGAGGAACCTTTTCAAGTAGAAAAGACTTGTTACAGAGGTGGGTAGAGTGGGCTATATAAATGAGACAGGGAAAGGGAATAAGATCAGGTTAGCTGCATTGGGCTTCTCCCTCAGATAATTGTAACTTGGACAGGACTTGGGCTGCATTATGTGTTTTGCGTCAGCAGTTACATGAGCTCTGAATGAGGAAAAATTGTTAACTTTTAATAAAGAATTATTCATATAGTTCTTATGCTTCCTCTTAGAAAAGATTCAGTAATCATGTTTCTGTTCCCATAACTAAACATTGGAATCTTTCAATTTCAATCTATAGTTTGGCAAATTTTTGTAGAACCTAATTGATCTTGCTTTTTTTCCTGCTTTTACTTGTGTTTACTCCTGCCATGAACAGGGGGTTGGACTAGAACAGGGGTAGGCAACCTTGGCTCTTTTATGATTCGTGGACTTCAACTCCCAGAATTCCTGAGCCACAAGTCATAAAAGAGCCAAGGTTGTCTACCCCTGGACTAGAAGACCTCTGAAGTCCTCTCCAGCCCAATAGATTCTATGATTCAACCTGGCCCTGCAGGATGGCCCAGCTGCTCCATTTAAAGCTTAGGCTGTGCAATTCCTATGCAGATATGCAAGACAGCTCTCTTTGTGTTAAAGAAAAAGCAGTGCTTAAGATGGCAAAAAATGATTCTTAAAGTTTTGTCTGTTTTTACTTGATCAGTGGGGTGCTCTTTTGCAGATCTTTATATCAGAGTATCATTCCAATCTCTTAAATTTCAATTGTGTGGAAAATGGTTTTGTATTGAAAGACTGAGGGATTGAGCAGCATTCAATAAAGTCTTTATGTTTGTACTTAGTGCTGTATATTACCATTTTTGTAATTTAATAATTATAAATAGGAGAATGGTTAGATTGATGGGCTATTTTCCAGCAAAATATTAACATTTAATTAAAAGATTTAAATAATAAGATTAAAGCAGGTGGCAATTATCAAACTGAAATGAAGATAGTTTGACAAAATAGATGTTGATACTCAAATTTTAGTTAGGCTTTTTGTAGAAAAAAAATGGATACTATCCAATTGTGCATGGTCAGCTGTATACTTTTGGGGCGGGATTTTTGTTACTCAGATCTGCTCCAAAGTCCCCCACCCCACAACATTCCAGACTAGTTTTTAGGAGGATGGGATAGGATGGGAAATTACAGGAGAAAAGTCAATTCATTCTACTTAATGGACATCATTTGTTTTCATCCAACATCAAATTGTTATGGCCCTCATCACCTCTTCATTAAAACAAGGTTCTATCTTTAATGCAGGAGATATGTTCACACTTCAAAATAAAATGGATGCGTAGTGCATGTTCATCTTTATGTCTATAAATTAAATATAATAATAGCATTTTGGATTTGTATGGGAAACATTCCAAACATATAAACACAATCATGGGCCCGTTCATGCTTCACATGATTCAAAATAAAATACTATGGACTACACTTTACTATATTCTACTACCCTAGGGTAGCAGAAAACTAATGCAGAATTTAATGGTTAACATATTTTTAAGTAATTTTCTTCATCATACCACCATAATCTGCCTGGAGGCTTTAAAGAGGAGAAAAATATTTTAAGTAAATATAAAATGGGTATCTAACCTAAATCTTTCTCATTTAAGGAATAATAATATAGTATTTTATTATTACGTGTTTTCTCTTTTTACTGCTTATGGATTTATGAGTAAAATTTCTATCTATAGGGTTTGGAAGAGGTCTGAACTTTATTATGACAGTATTAATATTTTAAGTAAGTGTATCACAGAGGTATATTTTATTGAAAAATCTTTAGCATAAGTATTATTTAATAAGAATGCTTGATAAAATTACTGTTTTCAATGTTCAAGAGCTATTTTTAGATTTATTGTACTGTATTCTGTTAAGAGGAGGAGGCAAACCACAATTGGCACATGGCACCATATCCCCCTAAATTGGCAGCATATTGCATCATAGCAATAGCACTTAGACTTATATACCGCTTCACAGTGCTTTATAGCCCTCTAAGCAGTTTACAGAATCAGCATATTGCCCACAACAATCTGGGTCCTCATATTATTGACCTCGGAAGGATGGAAGACTGAGTCAACCTTGAACAGGTGAGGATTGAAGGAATCGAACTCCTGGCAGTGTGAGCAAAGCTAGCCTGAAATACTGCATTCTCCAGAATGAGGATAGATAATCCACTGATTGGGTTTCCTGAAGTCCCTTCTACCCAATTAGACTAAGACTGAGAGATAACCATGCCTCTTGCTGGGTCATGTTTACCCAGTTCCGGCTTAGTCTTTACCCAGACAAGACGTGTTGGTGCTTCTCTCCAGACTCAGGTTTATTTTAAAAAAATTGTTTTCCCTTATTCCTATCCCTGGATTATCCTTCCTTTCCCCTTTAATTTCTCTTCAAAACACTGTATTTTTCCTGTGCTTTCCTCCCACGGGTCCTTCCCTCCCCTCTGAGTCCTTTTTGTTTACAGTACATTCCCCGGCTGTTGCAGCCTCAGCACGAGGCTTGTGTTTCTTCCGGTTGAGTGCTCAGGGCTTTGGGAAGCCTGTATCCTCAGCATGAGATTTCTTTGTTTACCTTTTGCTTTTCGGGGCTTTCGGGAGTTGCGGAGCTTTCCGTTCGATCCAGCTGGTCGGCGGATCTCCGCGGAGGCCCAGGGCGACGGCAGTTCATCCCGGACTGCTGAGGCCTCAGCAAGGGGCCTGTTTCACTTAATTTGCAAGGCTTGCAGTACCGCGGAACCTTCCGATTGGCTTGGTCGATCAAGGGACTGCCGCAGAAGCCCAGAACGACAGCTGATCATCCGAGCTTTGTCCAGACGATCGTGGCTACCGGCGAGTCACCACATGGCTGGTGGCCGCCATTTTGATTTTTGGGTGAGGCCTGTACTGCAAGGCCGGCGTTAGGGCCATAGGTTGATCGCCACGTGGCTGGCGGTCGCCATTTTAGAATTAAAATAAAAATAAATAAATAAAATACTTATTGCGCAGTTTAATTTCTCAACTTCTTTTGTCAGCAACAAAAGAGAGATTTAAGACTAAATTAACCTTTCTGGTCTTGCTGAGTGGCTGAAACAGTTCTCTCTCCCCCCCCCCCATTTCTGGGGAGGGCTGACCTAGTGGAGACAATCTCCAAGCATTTTTCCCCAGCCACATCCACTTGTCATTGCCTCTGGCAATTTATTGCAACAATATAATTGAATTGTCTTTCATTGGGAGTTGGTTTCTCTTACCTCTACTTCCTATTAAGAACCTATTTGTCATATACTGTGTTTCACAGTTGTTTTTGGCAAGGAGCTCACATACTGGTCTCTCCAGTCTCTGCACACTGGGCCTCAGCTCCTAGCCTGTTCTAGACCCATTCTCAGACTTGTTCTGAAGGGTCTCAGGCCTAGTTCCTTCGAAAGGTGTCCATATTGATTTTCCAGCCTTTACTGCCTGGTACAAACCCATTCTCAGACTTGTGCTGAAAGGTCTCAGGCTTAGCTCTCTTACAAGGAATCCATACTGGTTTTCCAGTCCTTACTACCTGGTACAACCCATTCTCAGACTTGTGCTGAAAGGTTTTTCAGGTCTTACCTGCTGTGCCAAGAGCCATACTGGTTTTACCAGTTTTCTACTGTTTTTCACCTTAAGACCTTACTTCTTGCTTTTCTTAGACTCATTCTCAAACTTGCGCTGAAGGGTACACAAACGATGGCTGAAGACAAGCAACCTCAACTAGTTCTGGCACCCACCAGTCCTCCAAGTAAAAGGAGACGCAAATCTCCAAAAGCGGAGGCAGCCGGCAAAGCAAAAGCAAAGGCCTTATCCGGCAAAGCGCCAAGATGGCGGAAAAGGAGGCCGCTAGGAGACATTGGGCCCTAGAGAAGCAGATATCCAGGGTTCAAAAGACCTCTCCATCACAACATGTGCAAGCTGCATCGGAGACTTCTCCTTTCAGCCCTCAGGTACCCACAATTGTACAGGTTCATAGGCCATTGTCTCCGGAGGGTGGGTCTCAATCTTGACCCATTAGTCCCATGACATCTAATCCTAGTCCAAGCTGGGGGGCTCCCTCGCTTAATCCTCAACCTACTCTATCAGCCATGTTCACACCCACAGCCGCTGGTCTCCGTCCTGAGTCATCACGATTGCACCGGAGCAACTCCAATCCATGCTCACGCAAGTATTAGAGAGTCTCTCATCCCTACAGAAATCCCAAACCCCGACACCCTCCCAGCGTCGGTCTACCACCCCTGATTACGCTTATTCCATTACTTCCGATCAATCCTTACAGAATGGGGATTCTTATTCGGAAAGAAATTGATGAATCCCGGGGGACAGCTCTAT